ATCCTACAGTTGATGAAACAGGTTCACATTGGTATGTGTGTCCATTTTGTAATGAAGCAACATTAGGTTCAAATAATATGATAGCACATTTTGAACAATATTTTTGCTGTTGTCCTTGTGGTTTATATTTTACAAGTGTAGATGCCTTAAATGTACATAAGGAAAGATGTGATGTATATAAAAGTAAAACAATCGACAAAGAAAAACAAATCACAGAACCTGAATTAGTGTCTTCTCAAGATGAAGTAAATATAGAAGAAAAAAAACAAACAACAGTAAGGCAGAAATGGACTCCAAAAGTTTGCACTCAATGTGGTAAACAGTATAGGACGAATTATAAATTACAAGAACATATGCGGAAACATACCGGTGAAAAGCCTTTTCAGTGTGTGACTTGTGAAAAAGCATTTCGTAGTAAAATTGGGCTTGCACAACATGCGGCTACACATACAGGGCAATATGATTATAATTGCTCCACATGTGGTAAAGGTTTTCAATCTAAAAGTTATCTTGTTCTTCACCAAAGAGTACATTCAGATTTAAAGCCTTTTCCATGCAACACTTGTGGACAACATTTTAAAACGAAACAATCATTATTAGATCATCAAAATAGACATCTCGGGGTCAAACCATATGTATGTGAAATTTGTGGCAAAGGTTTTATAACCAAAGGACTCTGTAAAAGTCATCAAAAAATACATTCGGGTATGGATAATCGTCAGTATCCATGTGTGGTATGCAATAAAATGTTTGTTAGTAAAAGTTATCTGAACACTCATTTACGCATTCACACAGGTGAAAAGCCGTATTTGTGTGAAGTTTGTGGTAAAGGATTTTTAACAAGAGTCGATCTTAAAATTCATTCAACAATGCACACGGGAGAAAAAAGCTTTAAATGCGATATGTGCGGTAAAGTATTCGCCAGAAGGGCAGCGTTAAGGTGTCATAGGAGATTGCACACCGGAGAACGGCCTTACAGATGTGATGTATGTGGTAAAACATTCACACAGTTCACTCCTATGGCCATTCATAAAAGATTACATACCGGAGAGCGACCGTATGAATGTGATGCATGTGGCAAAACATTTGTATCGAGATCAACCATGATGTGTCATAAAAAAAAACACCATGGTACAGCACCCGTGCAAAAAGATGAACCAGTTCCTCGTCAAAACGAAATAAAAAATATCTTACCAGCAGAAATTGTACTCCGAGATTCCCAGGAAGGAATTCAAATTACCGCAGATTGAAACGCATGATTAAAAATCGGGAAACGTTAAAGTAAATAGATACAAACAACGCATGATAAGAAATGAAATATCGAGTCTGCATTTTATAAGAAGCGGCATTAGTCACCACAATGTATTCCTTTACTATAGCATATATGTTAAAATTGTATACAAAGAATATATTTTCGAGGATTCTTTGCAAGGGATAACAATGTTTTCTAAAATCATGTATACCTATAGAAAGTAAAGAAAAAATTAAATGATTTTCATTATCATTAAAATATCGATATTGGTATTTTGCCGAAGTATGTTGCTGTTTTCAAATTGTCTACTTTTTTATTTGCAGTTTGTTTTGCTCTGGAATCTTTCAAAGATTAATAATTATTGTTAATCAAGCCATAAAATACTGTCAGGTTTAAGTCATGTAAAAGATAAATATTATTTTCAAGCTTCTACAGTTAATGTATGTGCATTATAGGACTTGATTTTTAGCTTGTGATAATACATTTTTTCAATGACATATGTTAAAAAGGTTATATAGTATAGTATGTAGTTTCTCAAATTCCGATCAAATGATACCAAGATTAAATATCTACATTTATTCTAACAAAGCTCAAATTATGGACATATGATATACAATTGAAATGAATTAATTTATAATTTATTTTTTAGCATATTTTTAAGAAATGCAATGCATTGTCAATGAAATAACACAAATGTTATTTATTTAAAGATATACTAAATTGAAGAATGGCTCGTTTGAATCATTACATAAGAATTTTCTTTATATTGTGTGTGCATTATAAATTGTTATAAATGTCATGAAAAAAAGAAAATAAAATGACACATTTACTAGCTATATAACATAAAACATGATTATCATAAAGAAAGTCAAATATTTTCTTATTGATACTAGTAAAACATTAAAATATTATTTATCGAATTAAAGGCTGATAGCTATTTTTACTGCAAGGAAATGCTATAGAATGGTGGTTATATCATATTAACAATGTAGTTTCTTAAATTTAACAAAAGTGTAAAGTTATATATAATCACCTTTAACACATGCATATTTCTGTGGCATCTCTGCGGTTTTCTTTTAAATAAAAAAGCTTTCAGCACTACACATAGTAGAAATTGTGATATGTAACAATAAAATGATTACATTTGTAAAATTGTGATGATTGTAATATTATTGACAAATCCTATCAGAAAAAATATAAAAAATTCTACAACCAGATTTAAAATTTATTTTTAAATTTTATAAACCTATACATGTGACTAATATTCTTTATTTATTACTGTTTTAGTTGTAACATATTTAAAGTAACATGTCATCTGCTTTTTACCCTCTAAATATCTAGTTAATAATAAGGTTAAACCAAGTAATAAAAAAAATGAATTTTATTAAAAATTCTTTTTATTTCGAAACGGTATTAAATAATAATATTAATGACAAGAGCTGCTAAATTGATATTGGGCTTAAAATTTAGCAGCAATAACATAATACGAGCATTACGCGCGTACGTTGATCTTTTTTTTTTAAATGGACATAAACTTATTTTTGTCTTTAACTACATTATTACACTGACCTGTTATGCAGCTATTACATACGTACACTCGTGTGTATGCATAATATACATATATATGCATGTGTATGTGTCTAGCGTGTTAACAATTTCCATTACAATCGCTGTTCCTATTTCCTACATCGTCCTACAATTGACAACAAATATTTAATCTATAATTTGACATTAACTACCTATGCAAGGCATCGATGACAATATATTTGTTTCGTTATTTTTTCCTTTCTATACTATATATAGGGGGCCCCTAAAATTGTGGGAAGTGTGAGTAATGATTATCAAGTTCCAGGATTACATTAACATTTTACGCAACTTATTTAAGCATATGCTTTACGATACTCCATGAAGCTTTTTGATACAAAATACATATAAAATTGTAAATAGCCGCGATAAAAAGAAAAACTCATAGAAAAATGTAACATTGTAAGATACAAAATACGTCCGTCGTTGTTTGACATGTGTGCAATTTTTTATTTATACAAATATTTATAATTTCTTTCCTTATTTTTTCTTTCTTTTGTATTAATTTAATCGCTTCCTTTTTCTGCTACGTCCACACATTATTATGTAAATGTCCTTATTAAGCGTGCAGGTAGGGGCCCTCGTTAAATCAGTGGTCGATGATATCAACAAGTTCTCTAATATTGGATTATATGTGTATCTTACAAAGCACCACGATCTAAAGCTATACAATACATATAGGGTGTCGTTTACTGAATACGAAACTACAAACAGGGAATCGGACGTACAATTCTTGCACTTTATGTTTTTCGATCGTTTGCTTATCCATATAGGCAGAACTTTTTACTATAAAGATAAATATTGATAATTAACAATAAGTAGCATACAATCTTCGAAAGAAAATTTACGCAATAGTGGTAATTATAGTAATATATAAGCGCACTAACACCCTATATATTTTGTCTAGTTGTCACTTATACAATAACAAACATATATTTTTAGTCAAAATCTGATTTAAACAACGTAAAAAATTAGAAATCTTTTTGCAGAATCAATATAACGTCGAATCTAATAGACTTAATATATCAGTAATGTATCATTGTTGCAATTGTTTACTCCTTTTTGCAAATGTAGAGTTAGTACAAGAATACGGAGACACAAAATTGTTTTATAATTTTGTATATATCATTATATTGATCCCAAAACTGATTTTTAACTTTTACGCTTATATGTAAACTTAGTATAGTCACAGCGACGTATTTATAAATTTATAGACATAAGAAACGGTTATTTTTAGGAACGCAAGAGGATTATTCGAAGGAAACATTATTATAATTATGAATAAATTTAATTGAATAAATTTTTATAATACAATTGTGAAGAAAATGAATCTGAAGAAAAAAATATACGCAGTCCGTTAAAATACAAAATTTTGCCTGATCAAGTTATAAATACACGATCAAACTTCCTTGTCTTTTCGGTTTTTAATATAAACATAAAATTTTAATTAACTTAATTTTTATATCCCTCGTAAATTATCAATTTCTTTCATGTTAAATTTTTTGGCAGTATTTGCATTGAACATATATAAAAGCTATAAAAATTGTGTTGAACAAATATTACAAAAGCAGTGATTATAACAATAAAATACGAGGTGCGACAATAATACATATATAAATAGCAGTTCAAAGAATTATGGCGTTAAATAAAAAAGTTCGGAAATTTGATGTTGTACTCACGAATAACAGGCTAGAAAAAAAGAAAATACATTGCTACATAAACATTATTTTATTTACAGATTTTGTTTGTCAATTAAAAACAATTTCTCATATCTTATCAAGGTCAACTAAACGATAACGGTACATAATCCAACATATAACAAAAATCCTAATGCATGAACTTAATACAAATTAGAAACTACGCATTTATATAAAACATAAAGAGAATTTTACGTATTAAGCAATAAAAAAGATTATAATTATCGAAAAATAATTTCTTTCTTTACTTGTCACATATTCACAAAATAATATTAGGCTATGAAACTTTATATTTCGTGATACTGTGCTTGCAGAAAGATGAAAATTAGAAAATTAGTGAAATAAATGATATTTCGCCATTAAGTAGCGATAATAGAATCAAAAAATTATGTAGACCAAAATATTTTATACACTCACAGATTTGAGCACCTATATTAATTTAAGAATTATCTCTTTTTGTATAATTGTACCATTTTGTAATTACCGTTGCACTTTAAAAAAAATTTTTTCTCAATCATTTTACTGTTTTAACATTTTTTTAAATGAATAACAACACAAAATTGCCACAAATATTAAATTACTCACAACTGTAACAGCGATGTAGTCCATCAGTCTTTCTCTCATTTCAACATCTGTCATGGTTCATTTCTTTATATTCAATATAATATGTATGCATTCTTGTGTCTGTGGTGGTTTAAAACATTCGTGAGAGTACAAATAACAGTTAATGCTATTTATTTCAAAAGGTGTATCCTTCTTACATCATATGTGAAACAAATTAACGTTATATGTAGAATAAGAGGAATGAAACATGTTGGTCCTCTTTTGATGTTAAGTGTTCTAAAAGTACTTCTATTCACCTTTACATTTTTGTATTCTCATGAATGTATAATTTGTAACTTACATATAAGAATCAAATTACCCCACCTCATTGCCAACACTAAGGAATATATCACATATTTTATACATTTTGACATGAAGAATATCTACAGTTATTTAAGTGTTCTCTTGCTTTCTTAATTTATATCATTGTTTAGCAATTGGACGATTGTAATTATAAATATTTTATTTCAAAATGTGCATTTTGATAAATTTACACAAATTTAAATTTACTAGAATATCAAATGTACGAACTATAATTCCAAAAATGGTGGTAACACCTCCCACAGACACTAATGATAGAACAATTTTCTTTTCTATCTTTTAATCAGTACTTTCGCTTGTTCAATATTTTTTTTTTTTAAATTTCATGCTAATTGATGATTCGTGTAAAAATGAACTTAATCGCATGACATTAGAGTAAATTCTTCTAACAATGTGCCGTATGTAATCAAGCAATATAGTGTACAGCGTTACATATTTACTGCCTCTTTCATGTTTCATGGAAATTTTTATTTTCTTATCATAAATCATAATCATTACGTATTATTTTTTAGCAAAATTAGTCAAATAAAGATAAAAATATCGCAAAATAAATTTATAACATTTGCATAAGGGACAAAAGACATTTTTATGTTTATTATTTCTACTAAATCTCTTCTTCCTAAGTGAAACATTTCTGCACAGCAAAATATGTTTTGTGTATTGTAATTCTATTAACAGTATCAAATAGATTTAATCACTCGTCTGATTCAATATAATAGTAGTGAACATGATCAAATTTAAAATATAAATGAAGTCATTTACGCATATACCTACTATTATTGCTCCAAAACTACAGCACTGATAAATGGGTCCAAAATGTTGATCATTGTGTACAATTTTTCTTCATCACAGGGTATGGTAAATTTAAGTATACCACCCTAAAATAAGTTATTTTTTATACTCTAAATTAATAGAACATTAAATTTTTTATATGAAATAGATTTCTTAAAGGACATAAAATATTGTTTCATATTTTTTTACTAGTACGTTTATAATTCGTAAAATTTTCATAAAAATAATAATGATTTACTTACGATGCTACTTGACGGCGAGAGTCTGTTTAAGATGGCGCATGAGGTGACTGCCGACGTCGTGAACCTCAGGCCATTGTTTGAGCACAAATACTATGCCCAATACAACAAACGTAGTTGTTAATATGCGCACCCTGCACATGAAACAATGAGGCTTAGTACAACTGCAACAGAGATGCGAAAACAAAATAAAACAATGAGTGCGCAAAAGTAAAATCAGATGGCGATGTACGTGATGAAGTATGAATTGAAATGTATGTGAATGAAAACGGAACAAGCATGATGGAACAGAAATATAAACTGATAAAAAATGTAATGGTTATCTGTTTACTATAAATGAAAAAAAGAAAAAAAGATGATATATATTGAAGTAAACAAAATTTACTTCAAAAAGCTTATGCAATTAAGCTGGAATGTACAATATTTTGTTTTGGTTTTAATAGATTATTTTCCTGTAAAAATAAAACTCAAACATAACTTTACAATATGAAATAACTGTACCTGGTCCTAAGGAAAGGCATCATTATACCAGCACCTGTTGCAACAAGAAGTAGAATAACTTGCAACACAGTTAATACTACGTTTATGAGCTTTACAACCAACGCCCTTGCATTGCTATTATCCAGACCCTCTAAAGTGACATATTGTTGATGTTGTTGTTGTTGATGTTCCATTTTACAAATTTTAGTTTGGCAACTCTCCAACATTTCGTGTATGTCCCTTAATCGATCTTCACTTTGATATTGCACTTTTTCTTCCATATCTGTTATAGTTTGTTTCAAGTTTTCTACTTCATTTTGGTGCAGTTCAGTTAAATCGTTAATTTGTTCCTCCAGACGCTCGCTTCTAAAACGTTCCTCTTGCAAAGCATGGGAAAGATATGTCACTTCTTGTTGCAAACTCTAAAATTGTTTAAGGAAAAAATTAATTTTAAAATTATGATGTATACAAACATGTTATTGTTCTTTATTTGTTCTGTTTCATTACTTATTTCTTAAATCATCAGAAACAAACCTTCAAACCTTCTAATTTATCTTTCATTCTCTCCAAATTTTCTCTATGTTCTTGTAGTTCAGAGAAAATAGATTTAAGACTAAGTGCAGCATTATTACTACTGTGACATGTGTGTGCTTGCCCCCTACTACCAGGTCCACTTTCACTTGTAACACTAGAGCATTCGGATCCTTCTTCGGATGGAAATTTCATTGCCGCAGCACTATGAGTTGATCCCAAACTACACCCACCAGGCAGCGTCGCTGATCCATGATGAGCCTTTTCATCTTCAACACTAGCGTTATCTCCATTACCTGCACGCGGTGTATCGTTTACATAAAAAGTTGAGCCATCTGCAGGGACACAGACGTCGCAAGTTAGAATGTTATCCAATACCAAACTATTCTGCCTTTGCTAATAACTAATCAATTTGTATGCTTTTTTGTATTGCAACACTCCTATCTTTCAAATACAGTCAATGATAATTCAAAAACATTTTTGTTGTATATAAATGCATCAATAATGTGTCACAAAATGTTTTGTAAACTAATACAAAAATTGTTTTTTCTTTATAATTTTTGTTCTTTGAATTCATGTCCACATATGTGTTTAATATACTTGCTGATGTATTGGATAACTAATATATAAAATAGCAAACATCTGAATATGTGAAAGCCACTAAAGACAAGGCAAAATTATTAAGTAACACAAAGTAGTAATAAAAATATAAAGCTTACAATATGTAAACACATTCTCACATCAAATTTGCTTATCTGGTAGGTATTCATCAAATGTGTAAATATATAAGATTTATGTACCTTATCATATACAACAAAAAAGGATATAGTGTTAAAAATTATTAAGATTTTACAAAGTAAGACACGTATGATATATTTACATATAAAAAAACAGATATAGTAAGAAAATTAGCCCAAATGTTACTTACTACTTTCAACTGCCATGACAGCAAAATATTAAACATTATTTATTGTTTAATGTTGAAATGAGTAAGAAGATATCGTACTATTACTACAATACATTATATATTACTATATATATATATGTATATATACTATCATCTTATTCCAGATAAATAAAAATTTATATTTCTGGGATAATGAACATATTAGCAACTAAAGTAATAATATAACGATTTTAATAGTGTATTTACATATATATGTATATGTATTTTAAATAAAAGAAACGTGCATACTATTGCTTGTAGTATCACAATTTATTAGCATAGGTCAATATGTGCTTAGTGATAGCTTTTAAAACACAAAGATTTAATTAACACTTTCCATAGTAAATATTATTAAAAAATTAAACAATAAATAAGATCTGGACAAAATTGTGTTAATTAATTAAAAAAATAATTTGTAATAAAAATTACTCACGAGATAAAGTATTTATGTTATCTGCACTGCCAAATTTGTTTTTTATTAAATGTGCAAATTCTCTTGGTTTGGACATTACACTTCTGAAACATATAAGAAAAATAAAAATCAGGAATAGCTTTAATATTCCAATTTTATAAAAATTGGCTTTGGAAAATTATTATATTTATATAAAAATATCTTATACATTAAAACATGTAAATTTGTGTTTTATATTTATGAACATACTAAAATTTGAATGTGCTTGGCTTAAATATATAAATATATACCTATATATAAATGTTGTACTTCATTCATTGCATATTTATTTTATAAAATGATAATATAGTCAAAATTTAATTATAATAATAAATGTTATGATGAAATGATTAAAAAACCATTGCAGTCTATTTTCACACCAACACTCACCCTGAAAAACCACTGATTCCAACCCTAATATTGCCACCCACGTTTCTGGAAGTGAATCTTAAATTAGATGAAAGTGTCATACCCTATATTTAGGATAACAAAACAGAAATTGGATAAAAAGAAGAAAAGAACACAAAAAAATTACACTAAAAGAACACTTCTTCACGTTTGTCACTACAGTGTAAAATTTTTATTTTAGCATATTAATTATAATACGCAATACTAGTTTTTTAATTTAATTTAATACTTTTACTTTTTCAAATAAGCACATAAGCACATACAGCAACAACAGGAATAACATACATCATATCTTTATAAAATATACATTATAATACGTACAATCAAAATATGTTTTATAAACTATTAATATAATATATACATTTTAATAAATATCTAAAATAGAAATAAATAAAAATCTATATCAATTAATTCAGATTTAGATCTATTAATGATTATTTAAATATATCAGCCACACTAATAAAAAATCCATATATATATATATATCTACTTCTGATTTGATTGCTTATTGCATAATTAAAATACAGTACAGACAGTTGATAAAAGATAAAATATACTTACTTAAGTCCTTGTCCCATATCCCGAAGCACTTCTCTGGGTTGTCTGTGACTTGTAGGTGCACCATTTAATTCATAATGTTTTAATTTTTTTGTATAACTATCCAATTTTTTTTGGAGTTGAGAAATACTGTGCGCTGATTTTTGATTTTTCTTTTCAAATACTGCTTTGATTCGAGTAAGCTGCTGCTTGTCTGCATTGGCAGCTAATTTTAGATATTCATTTACATTTTCTGGAATAAAAAGGACATTAGATAAATTTCACATTTATAATACATACTCTGACATAAATTGCGATTATATAAAGGCCTTCATATAATTCATATAATTGTTTTAACACTTCAGCACTATACTAATTAACTGATAATTGCTGAAAATTACCATCACGTGTGGTTTGTTCTATTCTTATAAGTTCTCGTGTTTTAGCAATTTTACTTTGGATATGCTCAATAGCTTGACAAACACGAGCAGAGTTAGAGTCAACATCATCAGTTATTAATTCAGAGGAGCCATTTGATAGGAACGATTGTGTTGCATGATATTGTTCCTATAAACAAATGTAGTGTTATATTAAAATACACAAACCTAAGAGAGAAACAAATTATGACTAACAAAACACATTTCCTTGAGCACATTGTTTGTTAACTTGTACTTTGGTTGCACTCTGAAACTGTGGAGATAGTCTAACTTTGATGGCACTTACAACATTATGCAAGTAGGTACTTAATTTCTTAACCTATAACCCTGATTATACAGTAGTGATTGATGACCTTGTAGTACAGTACAGTGTAATTACATGCCGTAACTTCACATTACATAAGTAACTTTATATAAGCATATACAATCATATTTACTACTGTAATAAACATTTAAAAACACAATGGTATCGATTTTGTTGATCTAAATACTTTAACAATAATTTTAAATATAATAACATATCATTATTAGAGTTATAAATTATTAGAACTTAAATGAATATGAATGTGTTATTTAAAAATGAAAATATTAATTACATTACAGTACATTAAAAAGTATCAAACATTCTGAAAATGAAATTATTTTTATTTATTAATTATTATTATTTTATAATAATAAAACACATACTCCTTCGTCATCGGCTGGTAGGTGAATATTTGGCACAAACTCGTCTTGTTCGGCAGTGATTAAATTGGTATTTGGTTCATCCATAGCATCTACTCGAATCACAGTTCCTGGTGATTTTTGCCTACTACCTTTCATGCTGAAGCTGCCTCCACCACCACTACTTCCACTGCCTGTACTACCCTCCCCTGTTTGGGAACTGCGAAGTCAAATTAATTTTGTACTGTGCTCCTTTTATTTATTTTTCATTTATTTTTTTTAGGAACTTATTTTTCTTATTTGTAAGTACAAAATATTGTATCATTAATTATATCATATTGAAACATAAGCTTAATGTTTCAGTTTCATGTAAAATACTACAAAAAAATAAGAAGTTTTAATCTTAATTTATGTAAGCATACATATTAATATCTACAAAAAATTGGGTCTTACAGTGAAGCATTACGTGCTTTTGAAATATGTTCCAAAGTAGCTGAAAATTGTTGAGGTGAGGTCAATGTATTTCCTCTGTTAGGTGATGTACTGCGTGAACTATTCTTACTTGACGTAGTTATCATCAAATTAGCCATTCCTTTTGCTGAAAAAATGATTACCTAGCTGTGTTAGTAAGACTGTAAATCTTCTTAATATATGAGCTTAAATAATTTGTTGTATATGTAATCTATATATATGTAAAAATATATCTCTATCAATAAATATATCTCCTCTTTATCAATATAAGTGATACTTTCAATATTATTACTATTAAACAGTAAATAAAGATATAATAAATGAAGAAATTAAAATATATTAATCCCTAAAAGACTGGGTGCATCATTCATTCTGAAATCATTATTATCGTTCAAATAAACATAGTATTTCTCATTATCAAGAAAAGCTATGTTTATCAAATGTTATCAATATTAATCATAAGATTTCTCATGATATGATCTAACAAAATGAAATGTATACGAAGAAAATATGACAAAGTAAATTAATAAATCAATATAATACAAAATTACATGAAACTAATGATGTTTATTGAAATAGAAAATTAATAAAAAAAAATTCACAATGTTAGAAGAAAATGAAAGAATACACTACAGAATAGTTCTATTTTACTTGACCCCTATATACCTATTTTGAGCTACAATTTTCTCTAAGAGTGATATTATCTAATCTAAATCCTGTATGTACAGTCAATTATATGTGTTATCCAAAAATAGTACATATATAGAAAGTTTAGTTCAAACACTGATGCAGTTCATATTTGCTATAATTTATTCATGTCATTACAGAGGTCATCCATATCTAATTAACATTTGTAACAAATTTGCTGGCCTACTTTTCTGACAGTAAGCACATACTAAATAAAACTGAATGATTATTGAATATCAAAAAAACGTTATTATCAAATATTGATATTGTACTTTAACAATGTTCCCAAAAATATGTATTTTGAAGAAAATAACATTGTCTAGCATCAAAACTCATTTTGAGATTAAGAAAACATCTGAAAAAAAATTACATGCGGTTACTTCTTTCACATTCTATCACCTTTAATCCAATCCTTTAACTGATGAATCATTTTGATTATCATAATTAGAACATCGGCATTGCTTTCGAAGTATGACGAACATATTACGCGGAAAAACACGTGTAATGTAAAACAATAAAAAATATCGGCACATTATCCATTTCATAAATATCAATCATATTCAATCTAGCACAAATATTCATTCTATTCATTAAAAAATGTTATTCATGGTACTTTGTAATAATTAAAGCGCAAAACAACATGATATACATAAGTGTACATAATTAGACATTAAATGTAGAATTTTATATTAAATCATGTTATAAACAAATTAAACGTTGCAGCCATTACAGGATCTTTTATTTTATTTTAACTCTACAAGAATATTTTATGTAGTGGTAAATACTATCAAAATTTAAATGCATACATTGCATACTTTAATTTTCAGGGAAATCGTAAGATAGCAGAAAACTAATGCAACAAAAATAAGAAAATGTCGACTCAAATCTTCTGAACCGAATAACACAAATTCCGATACACAACGGTTCTTATATAAACTAAGAATTTCTGACAAAAATAACAATGTCACCTCGCGTAATTGTCAAATACGTGAAACACAGAGAGTCTCGTTAAATTTTCCTATTTAACAAATACAGCTTCATTGAAAAAATACAATATTTATTTAGAACGAAAAGAAAATGTGGAAACATGTAAAGATTTAAAATACGCATGTATGTACGTCAGAGAAGAATCGACGAATATTTAGCGACCTGTGATATTACGTTACTATCGCGACTCATTTCCACACATACGATATCGTCCATGGTTATATAGGTTGAAAAGAGATATGGGAAGTAATTGTCCCACCCCTTTCATGCTGATATTGAGAAACGGGGTACGACTATCGAACAAAAACAAACGACCTGTCAAAGCTCTTCCGCGGTTCTTCGACATTCGATTTACCGAAATATATTTCGTCCCTCACCTTCTTTACCGCCTGATGTATGTAGCTCTTGGTTGAAGCATGGTTTTTATTTCAACGAATGTCACACTGGGAATACACAAAGCAGGGCTCCTTTTCGCGTATTGCGTTTTTCTCAATTGTCTCTTTGGTCAATCAAATAATAGGCTCTGTTATCGTTTTTCACGGGCGTGTCATCGTGCACCATTCGACATCGTAGCACTAGCCACTCTAATATCAACAAATGTGATACATTCTTTCGTCTTTAGGCACTTAATCGACAGTAAACTCATTCAGGAGCATGACGGAACACTCACACGGTGCGACACATTCGGCGAAACCGCTTCGTTACTTCACAACTCGACAGTGGAATACGCCAAACGGAACACAGAGCAACGAACGTAGAGGAGGGGGTAAACAAAACCGATATATTACCACTTGCACCGACTGATCTTTCGACTCCTAGGGATATTTTCTATGGAGATGCGATTGGTATTGCACTACCGTATCTAGCAGTATACGTGTCACTTCGCATTTATATAAGTTTAATGGATTTTATTTACATATGTTTTTAATTACAGTGTAATCAAATAAATTTCACTAGTTACTTTAGTTCATTTAAATATCACATGATGAATTTGTCTATTTTATATCAGATTCTTGTTTTCGTACCGATTCTTTCGTTGTGTTAGATATGTATTTATATTAATGTATTTATATTTACTGAAGACAAATGAAAGTAATTTATATATTAAATGAAATTATGTACCAATAGTTAAAAATAGGAATAATATATCGTATATGTTACAAGTTCTGTTTAATGTATTATATTCAACAATAGTAGATAATTGGATGCAATTTTGTCAGCTAGAGAAAACTTTCTTGGTAGTATATGTATGCGCATATAATGCCAAAAGGAAGTTCCAAGATTTGGTATTATGTATCGAGTACGACACTTTCCTTGCAAATTACCGTGCACTCGGATATCTTCGGCTAGATTCGGATTGAATGAGTGCTGTGCAAAGAGAAAACGCATTTGACGAGAATCATAATTTATTTTAGATTTTAAACGCTTATTGTTGAAAGATGTGTGTATGTGTGTGTATTCAAACAATTGGAATTAGCACTTTATTTTCATCTATATTTAACTTTGTTTCATTTCACTATTAAAAAATTCTGATTAAATTTGTTCACTGTGAGTTACTTAATTGTTTAAGCTTATAAACAAGCGAATTTCCAAAGGAATCTCTATATTGCGGGCTAACGAAATTTAACAAGCTGTAGGGCGTTTCGTAGTGCTCGCTTTCTCTCTTTGATGTGTCGTCGTGTTCGTTACCAACGATGGTAAAACCAGCACTTGATAGTTCTATGCAAAACTTCAAGCCCTCTAATGTAATCAAATTTAAGTAGAGGAAATGATTGTTATTTCGTAATTTTTCTGATATTTTGATGTCCGTTACATGCTGTTTTACGTCGTTGATAATGGTTTGCGCCTCAAGCTTCCAGTGATCCTTGTCCAGCTCTTTGTTATTTACCTCTTCCTTCATTCTCGCGTTTTAACAGCGTCAATAACCGTCTTTTTACGGACGCATGTAGTATTCTAAACAAACTGACGATATTATAGTTCAACGTTACTAATCAACGTTTCGTCAATGTTGGAACAAATTCACAATTTGTTACGTTGAGCAAAGTTCGTCTTATTCGTGCTAACAATAAGACGGCACGTGGACAGGTTAGAACCGAGAACCGAGGGTCAAAGACCAAGATTATACGATTATGTAACTATTTGGCGAACTTATTTCTCTCTTAAGGGATATATAATATCGCTTTTCAGTGACGACAGTGACTACGATCTGTCATCAGTTTAGACCTTGACACTGCGTAGTTGTAAATTTATGTTGTACATTCAATCCCACATATTTCTCGGTACATGTGCACTGAATGCACTATAGACCTGTACTAATTATGAATCATACTGCGTATGCAACTTCTCGCTTATCGCAACGCCATCTCATGACGTTCTCTGATACTAAATTTACCGCAACAAATAAGCGGGAAAATTTACTATCCTATAGAGCAGATAAAATATTATCCTATAAAGCAGATTTAAACGATCCTTGATCTTACATAAAGTTACTATGTTCCTGTTGATCTACGAGCAGAACGCTAGCAAGTATTAAAAGATTTTTTAATTCAATTCGATTCAATTATGTCAAAGTGGTAAGCTATTAATAGCTTTTTAAGACAGCTTTTTAAAATTCCAAGTTTTGATAAATTAAAAAAAATATAAGGTAGCAGCAAGAAAAGAATTTTATCCTTGTTCAATGTCCTCGTTTAGCAGTTGCTCAATAGCTACAAAAGAAACGTGATATCATTGTAACGAAGCTCACGTACATTTATTAATTTCATCTATAGAATGCAAAGTTCAATTGGGACTGGTCATACCTCTTATTATATTCTGCATCGAGGATCTCGGCAACATGGTCACATAATATTTCTATGATTATTAAAATATATATTACTACACTTTTTTTATCATTTTTTCTCCTTTCATAATTCCAAGCAACTTTAAATCAAAATTTATTGAAAATAGACGATCAACTTAACCTGACTAACTCAACCTGAATTCAACCATTTAATGTTTCGTATATTTCACTCTATAAATGGATCTCACGATTTTTAGAAATAATCAAGTTCGATTTGAATGCAAATTCAAGTGTTTCATATCACGCGAATTTGATTCAATTGATCGTACGATTTTTAATAACAATCGAGATCTATTTGAATGTAAATTCAAGCGTTTAGTATCTCATGAATTCGACTTAATCGATCGTACAATTTTCAATGACGATCGAATCGATATCGCGAAGCAGGACAAGAGAACTTGACGAGGTTGCGACAGCTGCCCCAGCTACGTAGCGATGAAGACGGGCCAAGCTGATACTGGGAGATGTGGGATCAGCTGCCGGAGCTGATACTGACGCAGATATTCAGTCACCTCGGTCATGGAGACCGTGCCAATGTTGCACAAGTCTGTCGGCCATGGAACCGTGCACTTTCATCGCCAGTTCTTTGGCGTTCCATCACAGTCTTCATCGACCGTGATCTGCGTGGTGACTTCCCTTTGGCGGGAGAATTAGCCGTATGCAAACATTTGTGAAAAATAAAATATCTAATATCCATTCTCTTATACTACAGTCACACGATTCATTAATGGAACGTGTGAAATTGAAATTTTGAGTTTTTTGAAGAGTAATCGTCGGTGTTTAACCCTTTCAAAATTAATGAAACAATACATTTCAAATAATTAATGAGACTTTCAAAGCGACCGTTAAATTGTTTTAATTCTTTTCGGAATCATTGACACCTTTTGCAACATAGGATTCTATCGTAAACGAGAAAGTATGTAATGCAAGGAGAAGAACGATTTCCTATCCATATATTTTACAAAAATAATCATTCAAATCCACAAAAATGCATCGTTGTGAATTTACAAAATTTCTGTGAGAAATTACACATTGATCATTTTGATCATTTTGGTAATTGCGTTAATAATAATACAAAATTAAATGAACTAATAAATTAAAAAATTCTATTCATTTTTTCAAATTTTAATGTATTATAGGCTCTATTTATTATTATGTTGTTGTATTCATAATTAAAAGGAAAATCGACCTAGAAAGGGTTAAACAGAATTAAAAATACAGATAAAGATTATTTTTGATAAAACGATAACAATTTTTGGTTATATTTGCATATCTGACATTCTTTTTACCCTAAAAGGAATTGATAGTAGTACTAAAATCAGAAAAATACGATTACGAAATTTGTTTTATCGCATCTAATCTATCGAAATTCGATGATAATTACGTTTCGCTTAGGCACAATATGGACAGCATATGCGAAGTTTAGAACTCGCCTGGTCACGACCGTATCTCTTGCCAAGAGAAGCTCGCATAACTCGTAATATTCAAGCTGAGGCAGGCGCTGATTTTCTTACGATTGTACGAGCCAAGAACGTCCAATTGAAGAAACTGATACTCACCGATTGGATCTTCATTTGTAAATGGGGAAATAGAAGCAAACTGTTGTATGCTCTTGCAAACTTTTTAGGGTAATTAATCAGCCTTGCATCTGAGGATTTAATCAGAAATCTAGATAGATACTAAAAATAAATCACTTACTAGGTGTAAGAATTGTTTTTCTCCAGAAAACAAAGATTCAATGTCGCATCCTTCAAAAATGAAATATTATAGAACAAAAAGAGTTTAAAAATTTCCAAAAAACTGTAATTACCTTCCTATTTCTTAGAAGCTTGATAGATTTTATTCTATAAAATTTACTCGAATTAATATAATTGTAAACTTCCGTAAGCAAACTGCAATATTTCATTCGTATTCTTAATTCCAAGTCTTTGTTTTTATTGAATTTTTACTGTATTCGATGAGAGCTTAGGAGAGTAAAAAAGAACAGTTTTCTTGGATATAAATGATCCAATTTGTCTATGCACTGTGAAAAGGTATATTTACCTACAAAAGGTTAATTTACATAAATTTGAAACATACCTTTTTCACGTTCTAAGCTGGGTTTATTCCTTATTTAAGTTCTGATGCACCATTGCCATGTTACACTAACCATTGCCATGTTACACTAACCATTGCCATGGTTGCTCAACTTTTCTTAATCGATCCTCACTAACGTAATCAACATTTACGTACGTAGCTGTCAGCACAATCTGGAAACGCTAAGCCTGCTAAATGCGACTCTAGGAGTGAGCGACGTGTTGCGACTTCTCGCAAGTGCTTCCAAAGGGTCGACCGAGCATCTGGCGTATTTAGATCTTCGGGGTGCGTTTCGGGAATGGCAGGCGCCCCATAGCAATCCAAGGCACGTGAAGCAGCTCCATCGATCGACCTATGTCTTCGCAATTATCATTTTATTCAAAGGAATTGAGAGTTTCATAACAAAAATGATCCTTGTCGATTATTGTTTCTTCCAGAAAGTATAAAAAGATACTCTGATATCATTGATCTCTTCGAAATGAAATTTTCTTTGAACCCAGTTTCTTTCTAAGAAGTTAAGATAAAAGTTGCCTTGAGACATATTATTTTCTTAGTCTCAATTTAAAGAGATTAACACAGATATTTATTATATTACACAATTTCTGACAGTGCCACGTCAATTACATCGCCGAAGTACTGTATTGAATGAAGTCATGAATTTTTATACTTTGTGAATAATATTTAAAAATATCATTATTTTCTCTACTGCTGTTATCAGCTGTAATCACGTCGACGTGTTATTTTATAAGAATAATTAATCATGATATCCTGATAAAACAATATATATCTATACTATTATAAATTTATAAAATTT